AAATATCATATGATATCACTTATCCATGGAATCTAAAAAAATGATACTAATGAACTTATTTACAAAACAGAAATAGACTCACAGACTTAGAAAACAAACTTATGGGGAATTCCCTGGGGGTCCAGTGGTTAGGACTCAGTGTTTTCACCGCCAGGGCCGGGGTTTGATCCCTGATTGGGGAACTAAGATCCCACAAGCCATGTGGTGTGGCCAAAAAAAAAAAAAAGTAAAAAGAAAAAAGAAAACAAACTTATGGTTACCAAAGGGGAATGGTGGTGGGGAGGGATAAATTAGGAGTTTGGGAGTAACATATACACACTACTATATATAAAATAGATCAACAAGGACCTACTGTGTAGCACAGGAAACTATACTCAATATTTGGTAATAACCTATATGGGAAAAAAATCTGGAAAAGAATACATATATATATATACATATATATGTAGGTACATATATATACGCAACTGAATCACTTTGCTGTACACCTGAAACTAACATAACATGGTAAATCAACTATACTTCAATTAAAAAATTAATTAATTAAAGAAAAGATGCCACTAATGAAAAAAGTTATTTCCAAATCAGTCAGAGGCCTCTTAGTCAATTCCAACTATATTTATTTCAATAAAATAAGGGAAGGTGGAAGAAAATTACTTTAAGTTTTTATAATGAAATTTGACCAGTAAATTAATAAATCACTGTTGAACTAAAAGTCAAAGGTGACAGCAAATAGATATTTTTAAAGATAATAGCATCAACCACAAGCATATGAAACAAAACTAGGATGTAGCTTTAATCAGTCATGCATTCCTGAGTCATAATCAAATCAAATAAAGCAAGCAATGTTGTAGGGTTCAATTATTTTACCATAATAAAGGTTTTAATTCCCTTGTCAAAAAAAATCTAACTCTAATAAAAAGCAGAATAAAAAATGGTAAAATTGAGTACTCAAGATTTTTCCAATTCTCTGTGTTTCCGATCATTAATGAGGCAACTGACATTGAAGAATTCCTGCCTCTCTGAAGTCAGTTATTCAAATCTATTTGTGGTTTTAATGCTGTGTTAATATGAATCTAATTCCCAACACTTCCTTTCTTTACACTTCTTTGAAGATTTTTTAAATAGTGTAATATTCTACACGTACATAAATGTATAGCTTAATCAATTGTTATAAAATGAATATCTATGTAACCAGCATTAAAAGTCAGGAAATACAATCTCAAAGGCACTCTTCCCTAAAAATCCCCACCCTGCCCTGCCCATCAGAACTGACCACAATCCTAACTTTATGAGAATCACTACTTTGGTTTTGTTTTCATAGTTTTCTTTACTAAGTGTGCATCCATAAACATAATACAGTTTAATTTTGCCTTTATAAATATTTATATACAAAATTATTTGGGTTTTTTTAAAACTCAATATTATCAATATATTTTTAAGATGCCTCTGTATCATTGCACACAGCTGTGTTTCATTCATTTTCGCTATTGTATAGTAGGTCAGTATATGGAATACTACAGTTTAATTATCTATTCTATTGATGGACATTAATGTTGATCCATCAATTGGATGGACATTTCAGTTATTTCCAGTTTGGTTGCCCAGAAGCACACACAGCTGTGGGGTAAATGCCTAAAGGTGAAATTGCTGAACCATAGGGTGTACACATTCTAGCTAATGTCAAGCCATTTTCCAAAGTGTCTGCAAGGCCTCACACTCCCGTCTGCAGTATATGGGGGGGTCTTTGCTCTCCCTCCTCTCCAACCCTGGGCGCTGTCAGATATTTTAACGCATGCCCAACTGGTGAGTATGGAGCTATATCCACGGTGGTCTTAATTTATCCGCTTCTGATTATTAATGAATTAAGCACCTTTTCAATCAACAACAGACAGTTATTGGCCACTGGGTTTCTTTTGGGACATTCCTGTTCAAGTCATTTGCCCATTCTTTAACTGGATTCTTTGCCTTCTTAACTTGTTCTTCACGTTTCCTAGCAGTATGTGTTGCAAATATCTCCTCCCACTCGGTGCCCCGTCTTTCCTTGCATTACAACTTTGGAAAAGCCAGTGTGACCTGCGAGCAGCTTCTTCGAGAGCTCCCGGGGTCCTGGGAGCTCTCCCCTGGCCACCCTCATCACAACCGTTCCCACCCTCTCCACCAGGACAAGACAGGGCACCGAGTGATCGGGATGCTGGAGCCTGGACCGCACCGGCCCCGCCCCCCGGTGCGGCCCCACCCACGGCCGTGCTGGCCGAGCCGCGCGGGGTGGGCCCTGTTGGCCCCGGTCTCCAGGGCAGCGCCGGGCGACGCGGGGCGGGACTGGGAGGCGCCGGGCAGCCAGGTTGCGGAGGCGCTGAGGATGAGGGCCCGCCGGGGTCGCGGCAGCCAGGAACGCCGGGCAGGTGACAGGCGGGGTGGGCTGTGTGCCAGAGGAGGGGATTGGGAGGGGTGGGACTGGGAGTGGGGACGGCAGGAAACCTCTCGAGGAAACTGGATCTGGACGGGGCGAACTCAAAGGAGCCCGCGCCGGGGAGCACTTGGGACCCAGGCGGGAAGGGCAGACGGTGGCCGAGGCAGGGACGGGGCCCAGGTGACCGGGATCTGGAAAGACTTTGGCGCCCAGACTCCCAGAGCAGCCCTAGCGTGGGTTGATTAGACCGGTCCAGGGCATCAGACCCACCGGACCCATCACTTCCTGGGCCTTAAAATGCTCCTGGTTGCCCAGTCTTGTCCATCGGAGAAAAGGGGGGTGGAGAAAATAAACCCAACTCCCCTTTGGGCAGCTTCGGGCTTGTTCCAAAACAGGGCACCTTTTCCTCTACCACTCATCTTGGTAGGTGAGTCCTTAAAGCAGGGCTCCTTTTCACCTACAGAAGGAAATGTGTTTCTCCCAGTACTAATGGGCTAGGCCCAAGGTCTTGAAGGGACCCCTAGGGAATTAGCCGTTTCTTAGTGCCACCGGTTTATCCCTGTCTGTCTTGTTTATTTAGGAGATGTGTCAGCCCCTCTTGGTCAGAAATTTCAGTGAGAAACTTTGTGCCACTAGGCAGCCACATTCACTACATTTAAAAGGCCCGCTTTTAATTTATTTCAGCTATCAGCTTTTCCTACTTTAATCCCATGCTTTCATAAAATCACACCTTCCACAGACGACCCAACTTGGATGGTATCTGCCTTTGCTCTCTTCATAATCTCCCAAACTTCATTAATGACAAAAATTATATCTTCTTCTATGGACATTTTTAATTGATTAACTCCAAGAAATCCTAGTCCATGTATTTAAAAGAGAAATTGAAGGGACTGAATTATTTCATGAAGGAGCAATTCCAAATTGAAATATAATGATTATTTTAAGTTTTCTTTAAGATCCCAAGTACAGTGACTTGAACTCTTAAAGTAAGACTGGTGTTTATCACAAACTGTTTCAGTTAAAATGTGTTAGTATTTGAGGGATTTGACACTTTCTAAAAATATCCTAAAAGCAACAGTTGATCTGCTTATCAAAATTAAAATAATATGGTAGAATGAAATTCGTATTTTTAAAATAAGAGAATTAATACAGCAAACTGGTCTGTGCAGTTTGACAATAATATGTTAGTCTACCAACAGGGGGAACTTTGAATTAAAAAGAAAACCATAGATATTTAAATATCAGATGTATTTAAGTATGAATGTTACCTTTGGTCTGTTTTGTTTGTTAAGTTGCTTTCCTCCAAGGAGTTGAGGATGTTTCTTGGAAATATTAGCAACAAGGTCAACTAGGACTAGGAAGAAGGTCGTGTTATTTAATTAAAGAGAGGATTTGCCCAAAGAACAAGAGCAAGCCATTGAAACAAATTTTACAGTAATCTCTGATGAGAAAGGTTGTTTCTGTTACCTGACCTACAGAAAAACAACAACAACAAAAACAGCATAAAGGCAGTGAGATGGAAGACAGAGCAAATAGAAATGCCAAGTAGAGATGAAAGGAAGCACATCCAAAAACATCACTTCCTTTCAATCCTATGTGAACTCAAAGCATCCTTTCCGTAAACCATCTCGTGGGTCTTTATGACAGCCCTTTGAGACAGGGAGGGCTCACTTGGAATCATACTCTTAAGCTAGTTACAAGGGACCCGAGCTGTTATTCAGGCCAATCTTTCACCCACCCAGCATTCCCCACAACTGCATTCCGTTCAGGTAGGTGGACACCCAGCCTCTGCTATGAATCACTGAATGGCAGAATTCACAAGGCCACCAAATCTTTTGTTGAACAGTTTTAATCATTATCGTGGGTTTTTTGTTTTTTGTTTTTTCCTCTGAGCTGAGGTTGATCTCTATGTAATGTCCACCTAAATTACACATTCCTACCTAACAGCAATCTGGATATCAAAAAGTCTTCCAAATGATAGAGTCAGCCAATATAGGTTTAGGAGCAAAACAGCTTCCATCAGTTTTACAGTTCCAACTGTGGAAACCATACTCTACTTCTCTCCCTCTCCTTTATTTTCCAAAAGGCAGACCCTGAACCTGTTTTACTCTGTCCATAAATACTACTGAACATGGCATATTTATATCAGTGCCCTTGGTCTTGGAAATAATGCATTGAAGTACTGTCCCTAATTAGCCATTTCGCTTTGTCCGGGCTTATCTGTAACAGGCCCTTGGACGCTCAAAAAAGGAATCCAGTCATTAATTTTCTCAATAAAGCTGCATTTGATTACTCAGACTGTTTATGAGCTCTACATCAGATGTGTTTCTGTAGAGAGAAAAACATAATAGTTTTTCCAATAGACCTTTCTCATACACACAAAAGGGGGCATACAAAAGCCTGCAGGTAATAACAAGTTTCTCTTATTTAATTTTTTGATTAACATTGGCATTAAAGAGATTTCAGTAGTCACAGAGTAACATAAATATAATTTTTTTAGGCAAATTCTTTTGCGAACCACGACTTTAAACATTCAGCTGCTGCCATCCACAAGAGTATCCCTGTTCATTTTTGTTATTTTCTCAAGATGATTCATCGTAAATTAATTCCCAAGCTCTCTATTCAGTCTCCTGTTCATCACACCAACTTAAAGGTCCAGTCCACAGAGCCACCTTTTAAGAAAGAAGACTTACATTTGATTTCAAAAGACTCCTTGGAATCTGATTCAGAAAGCCTCACTCAAGAGATCAAGTCCCAGTCTAAACTTGAAGACCAAATTCAGGACAACGACATGGAGCCTGACAGCTTAGAGGAGGAGAACTTGAGTGAGACGGAAGAGGAAGCAAGCAGAAAAGCAGCTCAGAGAAACCTCCATACCCAAGATGCTGGTGCGAATAACAGGTAAGGAATTGGCTTGTGTAAGAAAACAGTGGGTTCCGAAATGCATTGTTAATTACTGGTACTGTCCCAAGTGAAAGTGAGGACAGGCTCTTGGTTTTCGTTTTTTTGTTTTTTGTTTTTAATTTTTATTTTATATTAGAGTACAGTTGATTTACAATGTTGTGTTAGTTTCAGGTGTACAACAAAGTGATTCAGTTACACACATACATATATCTGTTCTTTCTCAGATTCTTTTCTCGTATAGGTTATTACAGAATATTGAGCAGCGTTCCCTGTACAGTAGGTCCTTGTTGATTATGTTTTATACATAGTAGTGTGTACATGTTAATCCCAATCTCCTAATTTATCCCTCTCCCCAGCCTTTCCCCTTTGATAACCATAAGTTTATTTTTTAAGTCTGTGAGTCTGTTTCTGGACAGGCTGTTGTAATGGGCACCTTCATAGTGTGTGTGAGACAGGTCTCCAAGCAGCTAACGACAGCTCGGAGCCAAGATTTTTGTCACATTCATTTCTATTTTTTAAAACAACGCATAAGACGAGAATAGTTATTAATAATAAGGGCATTTGCCTTTCTTATGCTCCTTATTTCCTGTCCATATTCCAAGTGTCTCCACTGCTGTGACCTCACTTGGAGAAATCCCCGAAAGCCTGGTCTAGCAAAATGCCATGACTTGGAGCCAGGTGGTCTTGAGTTGGTCCAGGCACTGCCGTTTAGTGTATAATTTGAAACAAGTCCCTTCAGTCTTTCTCATCTGTCAAATGAGCCAGCCTGCTTCTCTCACAGGATTGCCATCACTATCAGTACAGTACGTTCTGGGGGTAGAAGCCTACCTGAGCTAGGGGAGGTCTACCTTCCCGGGCTTATATAATCACATAAAGATTTAATTTCTAATAATCAGTACTTATGCGGTATTAACTTTAGGCTAGAAGCCACCAAAACATCTAAGAGGATTTAAATGAGTACAATATTACTCAGTTTTAATGAAAATATAAATGACATGCTAGAGTACTGAAGTTAAAAGCTATTGATTAGACAGGGGTCTTGGGATGGTGGCAAAGTACAGAGCATCTGAAGCAGACCATATGGGTTCAAACTGTGCCACTGACTAGCTGTGTGACCTGGGCCAAGCCCAGTTAAACTCTTTGTGCCTCAGTTCCTCCTCAGTAAAAATGGGATAGTAATAATAGTTACCTCACAGACTTACAGTGAGGCGAAAATAAGTCTATGTATACATATATAAAAAGCGCTTCGAACAGTGACTATAAGTTCTATATGTGTTAGATGTTTCTTTAATTAGGGTTAAAGTAAATTGAGGAAAGTTTATTGGAAGGCCTAGAGCTTGGGCAGGCAGGGTTTTGGAGACTAGGTAAGATTTGGGAAAAAAAGAAGAGAATTAGAATGAATGTGTGTGGCACATTGAGCCCCACTTGATGGCAGAGGATTTGTTCTGAGTGTAGGGAAAGTAGACAGAGGAGGGGCCTGCTGACGGGGACTGTCGTGGAGTGCCCCCAGTCCACGCCGCGGGTAGGACGTGGAACACAGAACTCAAATGACGTGTCCCCAAGAATGCAGTCACAGCGAAGGGTTGTGTGGAGCCAGAATGAGAGCCGAGCCCTGAGTCTTTTTCTTCGTCTTTCCCTCTTTCTCTCTTTCACTGGAAATGTCAAGTTGAATCGAGCTCATTTGCTTCTTAGGGGATCTCACAGCGCAGTCCAGCAAATCCCCTACATACGAACCTTCAAGCTGCAAACTTTCAAGGACGCGAAGGTATCATAACCCTATTCCAGTACAGTACTCTACAGCCGACTGTGTTAGTTGGGCACCTAGGCTAACTTTGTTGGACTTAAGAACAAATTGGACTTAACGAACGCTCTCTTCGTATGTCCACTGTACAAGTGATAAATGCTATAACTGAGGTGCAGCCATAGAGCTGGGGGGCAAAAGAGGGGCTTAGGAAGGCTTTAACCAGCCAGCCGCCCCTGACTGGACTGGGTTGGGCACACCTGGAGGAGAAAGTGCAGGTTCCTGGGGAGGGCAGCGAGATGAAGCAGTGTGCAAGGGAGATTATTCTGCAAGCTGGTGCATTATGAATTAGAGGGTAAAAACACAGTGGACAAAGAGACTACCAGATGGTAATAATTACAATGACAGCAATAACAGTAATGACATCTCTTTCGAAAGGCCATCTCTTTTGAAGAATTTCACTCAATTCTTCATTGTAATCCTGCAAGAAAGTGCTGCTATTCCCAGTTTACAGATTAGGAAGATGAAGCTGGCAGAGATAAAGTCACCCAACGTCAGAGTGCTTTGTTATTGATGTTGAGGTGTTTTTTAAAATACTTTTTATTTTATTTATGTATTTTGGCTGCGCCGTGCAGCTTGCAGGATCTTAGTTCCCCAACCAGGGATTGAACCCGAGCCACAGCAGTGAAAGCACGAAAGCGCCAAGTCCTAAGCACTGGACCGCCAGGAAACTCCCTGAGTTTTTTAATCAAGAAAAAATTCTAACCTACAGAAAAGTACAGAGAAAAATACCATCTTACCCTTATTGCCATGTTTGTTTCAGATATATTTTTTAAAACATAAAATGCTAGATAGTTTCCTGGTTCCCCTTCTCAAATCCGTCCCTGTCTTCCTCTCAGAGATAACCAATACATCAATACATACTCTTTTTTTTTTTTTTTTTGGCTGCACCACACGTTATGGGGGACCTTAGTTCCCTGACCAGGGATCAAACCCTCGCCCCCTGCAGTGGAAGCACAGAGTCTTAATCACTGGACTGCCAGGGAAGTCCCAACCCACATATACTCTTATATGAGTGTATATCCTTCGTAGCAATCTTTTATTCATTTACTTCATAGGTAATTTATGAATTAATTACTTCATAGGTAATTCTTTATGTTTATAAAGAACTGATAGGACTTGGTGACAGTTTAGAACTGGGGTTGGAAGGAACAAGAAAAGGCACAGATTACTTTAAGGTTCTAACAACAATAGCATTTATAGAATGCTTGTCCCGAGCCCATCCCTGTGCCAAACGCTTTACATGTATCATCTCATTTAATCCTTATGGCAGCCTCAACAGGTGGACACTATAATGCTCCCATCTTGAAGACTACAAATGAGGCTTAAAGAAACCAGTTATGTTATACCCATTTATTCCACCGGGTGGGTGGTGGAACGGAAAACTCCTGCAGTCTGACTCTATGCTTTAAACCAGGGGTCCCCAACCCCCCACCCCCACCCCGGGCCGCACAGCAGGAGGTGAGCGGCGGGCCAGCGAATGAAGCTTCATCTGCCGCCCCCCATCGCTCCCCATGACTCGCATTACCGCCTGAACCACACCCCCTCCCCAACCCCCACCCCCGTCCATGGAAAAATTGTCTTCCACGAAACCGGTCCCTGGTGCCAAAAAGGCTGGGGACCTTTAAACCATGTTTGTATTGTAGCTCTAATCTAGGAGAGTCATAGTCTCCTAGGTAATAAATGGTACTTTTATTTACTACGGGGGTGGGAGGGGCATCGGAAAAGAAATATCTTTTGTGGTGGATAGGTATTCTTGTCTGTACTTTTACGATGAAGAAACCAAGGCAAGGATCCATTACGTGACCTCATTTCTCCAATGTTGAGTTTTTCCTCTTTGAGTGGGGCTCAGAGACCTGACTTTAACCTTGCTTTTTACCCAAGGACAATGTAAATACCACTCAGTATATTTCAAAATAAAAAAACCGTACTTATACAAAGTCAAAAGCATCATTAGGGCCTTGGCCTTCTGATTCAGAGATCCTTAAATAATGGTATTTTCCTTGGACGGATTTGCCTTGGAAATCCTTAATGATGGACTATAATCCCCAGGATTAGAATGGGTTACAGCCCTAGTAATTGCTTGGACTGTACTTCATACATTGAACATTTACAGGACCAGTTCTGTACTACAAAGGAAAGCTGAACTGAAGCATTTAGCCAAGTAATGCCTCAAAAATATCCTTCAGGCGAGTGTTTTGTTACTGGCCCCTTTTCTCTGCCTCACTTTAGCCTTGGAAACCTTTCTTAGGTGTATTGTTACTTGGATCTGAGTAGTTTACTAGCCATGAAATAGACAAATTGATCTCAGGCTCTCAGTATGAAATTCAAGAAGACTTTCATTTCTGTCAGGCAGATGGCATTCTGGGAATTGTAGTTCAAAATAATTAGTCAAAGCCTTGCCTTAAAACGGAAGAAGATCTCTTTCTTCTTGCTTTTATGGGCAACCGTTTTAAAAGCTGCCTGACAAAATCACTTGAGCCCTACTCTTGTGTTTTGATGTTACTAGAAGCTCCTCAAAGCAATTACTCCCTTGTTCCTCCGCAAAGTCAAGCCACAGTTCGATGTATATGGATTAGAGAAAACCTTTTACTTAATGGAAATTGGAGCAGCATTGACTGCAGTGAATGAATCAAGAGTGGAAAGAGGATCTTCATATGATAATCCTTAAACCCCACTCCAGAACTAGCCCCATGACACTCGGCACTCAGAAGAAAGAGATCAATGTAATTCCTAGAGCATTAGAGATAACCTCTTCAGCTCTGGGGCCTTCTGAAACCTCATATGTTAAAAAAAAAAACAAACCAGAAAGCAGCAGTACAGTAACTAGTATATGTGTTTGATAAGGTCTTATGTACAAAAATACTTCAATATAATTAGCTACCATTTGTAGGACTATTTGCTTGATATATATTATCTCATTTATCCTTACAAGAGGCTCTTAGATATCGGCATTATTATCCCCATTTTGCAGATAAGGAACCAAGGCCCTGAAAGTTGTGTAGGTGTACGTAGCTACTAAGTGGCAGAGCCAGAAATTTAACTGAATGAACTCTCTTTTAACATCAAAGTCTGAGCCTCTAATTATAAGTATCTAGATAGGTGATCAAGGGCTGATCTGATAAAGGATTCAGTTTTGCTCTCTAGCAAAAATTAAAGGTGTAACGACTTCAATATGGACTAAACTGAGGCCAGA